GAAACCTGGACTTATAATTTCTAATTATAAGTTTGAAATCACCAACACGCATTGAGCAAGCGTAGTGATTAATGCTGAAACCTTCTCCGTGTGAGAAGAGGCTTTGCTCAGCAGTGGGCAGTTAGCACGGAGTCTGGAATTGTGCCCGGTATATGGCAATAGGCTCACCCCCTATTACATGGGACTCATAACATAAATAGTGAAAAGTAGATGTTACATTGTACAGTGGCATAATGTACACCTCTGTCTATCCCTTCGGGGATAAAAGGCGTGATGTTATGATGTTATGTAATTTCTTAAGGTTATTTTCTTAATTAACCTCTTTGATCTTATAAAAATGCTCTGCACTATATGAATCATGAAAAATGTAGGTACCTATGTAATGAAAAATTGATACGAAATTAATTGTCTGTTGAAATGATACCCAGTCATTATGATGATATATTATAAATTGTACTAATGGTAATATGGTATCATATTTTTTTCTGCCTATTTCATATTTTGGAATGCCTCGTTGGATGAGTGGTCGCAAGTGCGACTGCCGGGCTAGGGGTCGAGTTGGGCAAAGTATTACTGGGTTTTTTAAAAATCTCAGTAGTAGCACGGAGTTTGGAAATGTGCCTGGTATATGGCAAAAGGCTCACCCGCTATTACATGGGACTCATAACATAAATAGTGAGAAGTGGATGTTACATTGTACAGTGACATTAAGTGCCGAAATGTGCACCGCTGCCTACACCTTCGGGGATAAAAAGGCGTGATGTTATATTATGTTATGTTCAAACAACAGAGAGGGAAATGTTATGAACTTTTAACGGTATCATGGTGTTAAAGGAGAATTCAAGGTTATTCAATAAAACACATACATAAACATACATAAACATCACGCCTTTTTATCCCCGAAGGGGTAGGCAGAGGTGCACATTTCGGCACTTAATGCCACTGTATAATGTAACACCCACTTTTCACTATTTATGTTATAAGTCCCATGTAATAGGGGGTGAGCCTATTGCCATATACCGGGCACATTTTTCCAGACTCCGTGCTACTACTGAGATTTTTAAAAACCCAGTAATACTTTGCCCGACCCGGGAATCGAACCCGAGACCCCTTGCCCGGCAGTCGCACTTGCGACCACTCGGCCAATGAGGCAGTCAATAAAACACAATACATGTAATATTTATGATATTTATATTTTAAATCTGTTATTCAATAACAATTCCTTATTAACATTATGATTCACAGCTTTAATTTTACATTCCAACCTTTGGGTGTAGTTTTTGAGTTATTATTATAAAAATTTTCCATCGGAATACTTCTTCATTAATATGTGTGAAGATTCCCTGGACATAAGCTAGATGTCGCACAATCATTGATGAATACGAGAAAGGTACAAGTACACAAACTTATGCAAACGTATGATTGACCAATATAGTCCCGTCCCAAGCTCTCATGTCAATCTTCTTCATCGTCTGCTTGACGGTTGTATAGACTTTTACTGAAGCTATCAGTTCTGGAGGATTACCGATCCATAGTACCAAGTTAACCCTAGTTCGTACTATCAGAGACTCGTAGGTAAACGGTATTCTGGGTAGATTTTCTAGGTGGAGTATTAATTTTCTGAAGGGGCTGCGACCCTGAAAGAGAGATTTTTTTTTTATAAATGGTATTATTTGTTATTGAAAACATTAATTTAGCTTTCTGCCTCGCACAGCAAAACTGTGGACTGATCTGTCGTCGGCGGTATTTCCGAACCTATACGAACTTCAAGCCTTCAAGAAAAGAGCGTACTCCTTTTTAAACAGCCGGCATCGCACCTGTGACTCCTCTGGTGTTGCGGGTATCCATGGGCGGCGCTAATCACTTACCATCAGGTGATCCGTCTGCTCGTTTGCCTCCTATACCATTAAAAATTGCCATTTTTTTCTAAAAATAAAATGTGAACCTATTATTGTGCTTAATTTTAACCCTGGCTGGCTGGTGTGAAGAGTGAATACGACTGTTTTTGTTTATTTTTCCGAACTTTTCGAAAATGTTCGATGCATTCTCGTTGTATAGGAACAAGCTCATACTATTATATGGATCTCACAATATAATTGGAGAAAAGTGCGTGTTACATTGTTTATGTAAAGAGTTAAACGGAGTAATGTAATGATTATTTTATTTTTAAACAAATAACATTCATTATGATGATTCATAAAATACTTACTGCAGGAAAAGGACAGGACCAGTTCTTAGGGAATTGTTTTGCGTACATCTGTCCAAGGAATGGATCCTTATAGAAAAAGTCACAGAGTTTATATTCGAATTGTACTGGTATCTGTACATAGCGCCCGCTTATGTACTCGAAGAGTACCCATTTCACCTGAAAAGATATGTTTGGGAACAATAAATGTAAACGGGATATATTTTTATTTGCAAAAAACTATATTTGCAACTGTTAAAAAGGGGATCATCAGTGCAATGCTCAGATCACGTAAAATTATATAGAAATTTTCACTTTTAAAATTCAAAGTAGGTTTCGGCCTGTAATAATTTTTTGTGGGTTAGTGATCAGAGCTGGTCATGGAGACCCACAACATCAGAGGTTACTTATTTATTTACTTATTGAATTAGGATCCCCAAAAAGGAATACACTTAGAACACACGTGTAACATTACAAAAAAATTAAAAGCTTGTTCTTCTTAAATAGGGTAGATGACTAATTTTTATTTTAATGTCCGTCTGGTAGATTATTTTAAAACATTAGACACGTATTTTTTATTTTTTTTACTGTAACAAATACTTTCGACGATGTATTGATTTGAAATGTCGCGTGACGTCACTTCTATGTACATTTTATACGTAGAAATGACGTTTAAGCCCCCACTCCTAAACTTTGATTCGTTATTCTAAGTATCATTTATCATACAATAAAATAAAAAAATACGTGTTTAATATTTTTTCATTACCTAACTGGCAGACTAATTAGATTTTTAATTTTCATACCCTGTCATCATACCTATTATAGAAGGCCACACATAAAAAAAAAACAGAAATCATAAAGGAGGTTACAACTGTCACTTCTAGAGCTAACCTATCGCATTTCAAAAGGTTCGGGCATACTATTTACAGTGCTCACTGTTAGAAATACAGGATGTGACGTGTTTAGTTTTAAAAGAATAAGCCATACCGAAACATTGTTCCCATATCCACAGGTCGATTGGAAGTCGAAATTGATGTAGTAAGGGCTGTTGCGACTATTCTTTCGAAACGTAAACTTGAGGTTTTTGAAATACTTGTTGTTACCGAGTGTCGTTTCAATTTTCTCCGGGTATACTTCTGTAGCCTAAAATATGAACAAGAATTTTGGAAACCGGTTCACAAATGGCGGAGTCATTGGCGAACAAATAAAAAATAAAGAATCAGCCGAACATAGTACCTCCTCCTTTTTTTGAAGCCGGTAAAAAGAGTTATATTGACTTTAGGCCAATTGTTTCGATCTTTGAACTTGATCTACTCATTTTTATGAGTTTTTAAAAGGACAAATAAATTTAGATTAAATTACAATTACCTAAATCTTCCTTTACAATTGTACAGTTCATGTTGTAACAACATTCTATTAGATTAATATTGTAAACAAGTTTAAACTTACCATAATAAAGTGTGTAAGAAAAATTAATAACACCAAAAGCCACTTCATGTCTAAACCAGTAGTTTTAACTATGTAAAGCTCAGAGCTGGACAAACCCTATTACCAAATATCATAAAATATTATTATAAACCTAGAGTAATCGAAAACTGCAATCGACTGCAATTAAATGTATATTAGCATGATGAACAATGCATTTTTTACACATTATAATCACATTTTATCAATATTTTTTTATCAGATCATCAACAGGCCGTGACTGTCCCCTGCAGCTGAACTATGGACCTCCTCTACATAGAAAGGTTTGCTGTATGTAGGTAATTACAATAATAAGAGATAGCAGTTCAATTATTTATTTATTAACTCTTCAATGCCTTCAAAAACAACGTACATAAGATGGACTTAATGTCATATGGCACTTTCTCCCAGTCAACCTTTGGGTTAAGTAAAGAATCAGCGAAAATAGGTTTAAGTATATGCAGTAAAATGAAACAAAATAAATATTCTATAACATAATTAATTATATATAGCAAAATATGTACCAGCCCGTTCCTTCTCCTGCACTTCGAGCCGGTCGGGCGGCGAGGCAGCCAAGCTCGCCGTCCGCCGTGGCCGAAGATCGTCCCGCGATCCCCGACGCCCGGAGTGACCTTCGCGATGACATTATAATATGATATAATATAATTAACGACAGTCAGTTTAATAGGTTAAGGTTTATTAGAAACTCCTGTTGTACAGTTAGCTCCACAGAACATAGGTATTAAGATGGTTAGCTCTATAAATCTCTGTCTCTGTTTACTAATAATTGGTATCTTTATTTTTTTACATAGGACTTGCTAATGGTCATGTGTACCAACAAATAAGTACACAATTGCGTAAGTACACAATTGAACGTTACACGTAATAGGATAGATGCCAAATTTAAACAAAATAAAAAATACATGTCTAATATGTTTTCATTACCTAACTTACGGACTAATTAGATTTTTAATCGTCATTTCCTGTCATGATCCCAATTATTTTTTGCAGTTTTCGCCTGTTATCTTAAATATGGCCCCTCAAAGAAGGAGATTTGTTTAGGTTTACAAATCGTATCTTGGGTATAAAAAACAAATTAAGGTTATTCAATAATACGGAGGACTTAATTGGTTGCCGTAGCTCTGAGTCGAAGAGCAGAAGTAAGAACGGAGTGGTTTTTATTTATTAAGAGTCTGACAACCCCTCTCGCCTCACCCAAGGGGGGAAAAGTCATTGGATGATTTTTTCCTATTAAAAAAAAGGTTACTCAATAAAACAAAACTTGCGTAACATTCATATATTAAATCTGTTATTCAATGACAATTCCTTATTATTATTATGCTTCACAGTTTTAATTCTTTTTTGCATCCTTCGGGTGTAGTTTTTGAGTTATTTTTATAAAGGTCTTCCATCGAAACACTTCTTCATTGGTATGTGTGAAGATTCCCTGGACATCAGCTCGAGTTCGTACAATCATTGACGAATAAGTAAACGGTATGGTGTACGGGAAATTCTCCAATTGAATCGTCATGTTCACAAAATGATATTCACCCTAAAAATGTAAAAAAGACATTAATATAATTATAATTTACTTTATCTTTTATCTTGATATCGTACACACGTATTTCTGTATAAGACGTTTTTTAAGGGGGGAAAATCATCAAATCACTTCTCCCGCCCGGGTAAGGCGGGAGGGAGTGTCACAGACTCTTACTGACTAAAAACCACCCCATTCCTACTCCTACACGTCAAGCCGGAGCCCCGGTAACCAGTTAGGTTCTCCGCGGCTCCGTTCTGTATAAGACTATAAATTGATTTCTACTAAAAAATGTAGCTTTTTGTAAAGGGACAAGGGAAGGCATTTGTTTAGTATTCACGTTTTTCGGTTATCCTAATATTGGACACATTAATTTGTACTTTGTACCGTTATTGAGAATTTCTTTATGGTAACATTAGCATTACCTTTGTTTATGTTTAACGTGTGTTCAAGAAGAAAAGAGTGTTTTCAAAAGCGTCCCAATATAATACGAGAATATAATCGAATTAAATGAATACACTTTTCAAAGGTGTTCCAATACAATTTTTTTTATGGGGTGAAAATCGTCGAATGACTCGCCGCCTGGGTGAGGCGGGAGGGAGTGTCAGACTCTTACTGACTAAAAACCACCCCGTTCCTTCTCCTGCACGTCGAGCCGGAGCCCCGGTTACCCGTTAGGTTCTCCGCGACAATTCCAATACAATACAATACAATACAATACAATTTAGTCGAATGGAATAGTTCAATGGAACTTACAGCTGGAAATGGGCACGTCCAATTTTCTGGGAACTGCTTTGCGTACATTTGTCCGAAGAAAGGTTCGTGGTAGAGGAAATCGCAGAACTTGTACCCTACATTAAGAGGGGTCGGTATGTAATGACCAGCGAGATATTCGTACAACGCCATTTTCAACTGAAATAGAAAAATGTTCATGAAAGAATTTTACCATTTCTTTATAAAGATTAGACTATATTAGAAGTTTAGATATATATTTATACAAAAAATATTGTTTCTAAGAGGCAAACCTGCCGATAGAACGAAATTCCTGACTCCATGCAAATTAGAAAATTGAAAACTGGAATTGTGCCCGGTATATGGCAACAGGCTCACCCCCTATTACATGAGACTCATAATATAAATAGTGAAAAGTGGGTGTTACATTGCAGTGGCATTAAATGCCATAATGTGCACATCTATCTACCCCTTCGGGGATAAAAGGCGTGATGTTATTATCTTATGAAAGATCCAATACTAACTACTTACTTTACTTCACCAAAAAATCTAAACCAAGACGCTCCCTTACTTGGTAGACATGCTTATGACCACATGATCATACAGAACTTTATTTTTTCTTTTTTGAACGTTGCCCCATACTAGGATTTTCTCCTGTGTCCTGGGTGCGTTTACAAACATACAAGTTTACAGACACAATGACACCCTGACCCGAAACAACAATTTGTGGATCACACAAAATGTTGTTCTGTGGCACGGCAGCCGGTTGCCCAGCCACCGCACCAACCGTGCAGTCATACATCCACAAACTTTCATACATCCACAAAAGAATAACTTGAAATGATGACGCCATTACTCTAAAACCTCATCAGAATACGTCCAATTTCCAATACAATCGTTATCCATTTGCGAAACTATAAGAATGTATCCATAAAAGTTTCAATAGATACCAAGAAATATCTATTCTCATCGTCTGACGTCATCAACTCACCCTTTACCTAAAAGTCTTGCATCATTTATTACCGGTGAACGCTATTTTAGGAACAATAGATAAGATTTATGAATAAAGATACACAGTTTGTTTGTAGGTAAATAAGCGTCGTGATTAGTATTGGGTTAACAAAACGCTTTGTATTATGTGAGTGGTGTCTCTGACAAACGGTGAAGGAAAACATCGTGAGGAAACCTTTGCTTATAATTTCTAATTATAAGTTTAAAATCGTCAACCCACATTGAGCAAGTGTGGTGATTATCATGGTCAGCAGTGGCCACTTACAGGCTGTTGATGAACTTTTTATATGAAATTATCAATTTAACATAGAGTAGCGTCACACATCACGTCGTTACGTCGTTTGAAACCCGAAGGATGTGGACAACCGAATGGAGACGTGTACATTTTCAATGTAACACCCACTTTGCAGCAGTTGTGTTGAGACTGATGAGAGATGACTACACAACTATAGAGGTACGACCTTTATGCACCAGGGAAAATTCTAGGCTACTACCACTGACAAATTTGTGATAATCCGTAAATTTAATTATATTATACTTGGGCCAAACCGACCCCGAAACCAATTACAGTGTCAGTTCCGATCCAAACTGAACCCAAAGCATTATTGCTCAGCACTCACACTTGCATTAGGTATATTTCAACGATCCTCAAACTCCTAATCCCCAAAATGCCGGTAACGCACTTGTAACGCCTCTGGTGTTCCAGGTGTCCGTGGGCGACGCCGATTGCTTACTATCAGGTGATCCGGCTGCTAGTTTACCGGGTTATGCATAAAAAAATTAAAAATCCAATAGTAAGTACTTTTAAACAATACCAACCGTCATGTTATTACCAACTCCAACTAAGGATTCCAGCTCCATACTGACATACAGGGGAGAGTTTCGGCTGAACTTTCTGAAGACTACTGACAGGTTCTTCAAATATTTCTTATTCACATATTCTACTTCATGTCTTTCGGGGGCTATTTCCATAGCCTGAAATAAAGAAAAAATTCAAATTAATATTGGTATGAAGCTAAAATTTCCGTCATCATCAATAGAAAGGTTTTTCAAGCAGTTTTTTTATTATTTGTTATTTTTCTGGTGTGGCTAGTAATCAAGGGGGTCGGAGGTTTAATAATAATTAGATACTGATGTAAGTTTAAAAATAAGTTATTCCCAAAATTATGTTATGATTGATGACTACCTCGCTGGCCGAGTGGTCGCAAGTGCGACTGCCGGGCAAGGGGTCTCGGGTTCGATTTCCGGGTCGGGCAAAGTATTACTGAGTTTTTAAAAAAATCTCAATAGTAGCACGGAGTCTGGAATTGTGCCCGGTATATGGCAATAGGCTCACCCCCTATTACATGGGACTCATAACATTAATCGTGAAAAATGGGTGTTACATTGTACAGTGGTATAATGTGCACCTCTGCCTTCGGGGATAAAAGGCGTGATGTTATGTTATGTTATGATCGTGATTATATAAACAGATCAAACAATAAATAAGTTATAAAGTAGGTACAATGACGTATTTTTTAAACAGAATATTATTTTATACATTACCCAAATTAATCTCAAAGCGTACAATATAGCCAATATTTTCATTATAACTAACATTTTTCTAGGAGTTGATAGGTTTTTAATATTCGCTTATATTTATAACCTACTCATCTACTTACATACACATTAAACTATAGTTCAATAGTAATAGACAAAGTGCGTGATTACGCGTATAGCTAATGGGAAATATATATATATATAATAAGATATTATTTATTATATTGTCCTTGGATATGATGATGAACAGTAAAACTATAACCAAATTTTAGTTGCTCTGAAAAGAGACAATTTTATTTTATTACCTATTTACAAAATCTAGTTTTAAAACTTTTACAAAACATTCTTTAATAATAACTACGCACTAATTTTACCTGAAAAGAGAAACAACATTTAGAGCTATTGTTTCACCAGTTCTTATCAATTATTCTAATTACATTAAAATTTTTACTTATACATGACAATTAACCATTTTACTTTTCATATTTTTCACAGTCATTCAATATGACAGTTTACTCCACAGATTAGCTATTTCACAGATCAAAAATACCTTACACGGCAAATCCAAACTATACAAACTAAATGAAGTGTCACGTACTTTGTTTACATATATAACATTTAGTTTATACATTATTTTCTTTTTAAAATCTATTAAAAGAAAATTTACTTGAAATTTGCTTAGTTTTTAAAAAAGAACATTAGAGACTGGATTACAATTTATAATTTTAATGTAAAGATACTGGATAAGAATATTATTTTCCTAGCTTAAATAGGATAAGTTGTTTAAAATATCATTAGATATGGTTTTTTCTGTGAGTTTTTTACTATACTTGTTGACAAAGCGGTCGCAAATGCGATTATCAGGCAAGGGGTTTGGGGTTCTATTCCCGGATCGAGCAAAGTATTATTAGGTTTTTAAAAAAATATCAGTAGTAGCACGGAGCCTAGAATTGTGCCCGGTATATGGCTATGGGCTCACCCCCTATTACATGGGACTCATAACATAAATAGTGAAAAGTGGGTGTTATATTGTAGAGTGGCTCAAGAGCCGTAATGTGCACCTCTGCCAACCCCATCGGGCATAAAAGGCGTGTAATGTAAAGTGATATTTTACTATAAATAGATTAAAATATGCCTGAGCAAAAAACAGAGTGAAATCGAGGGACAACATTAGTAAATATAGGAAATGAACATAAATTGTATCAAAAACCATTGAATTTAATTTGAAGCACAATACACTCGTTTTATTACATTTTAATATCTATATTACGTCCGAACTTCCTGTTTACTCAAATAAATTAAATTCTATACAATAGAAGCATGGATGCGCATGGCAATGTAATTATTCTATCTACTTGACATGATATAAGTACCTATTTATATTTTGGTAGGACAGGCTTGCCGAGACTTGGTTGCCTCGTTCGCCAAGTGGTCGCAAGTGTGACTGCCGGGCAAGGGGTCTCGGGTCCGATTCCTAGGCCGGGCAAAATATTACAGGGCTTTTTAAAAAAAATCTCATTCTGAAATTGTGCCCGGTGTTATGGTAATAGACTCATTTACATGGGACACACCTTTTACATGGGACTCATGAACATAAATAGTGAAAAGTGGGTGTTACATTATACAGTGGCATTAAATGCCATAATGTGCACCTCTGCCTAACCCTTCGGGGATAAAAGGCGTGTTTTTCAACTCACGTAAGCCTTGATTGTCCTTGTAGATCCTTGGTTGTCACTATCATAATCAGCCATGCTAATAAACGCCTATTACATAATTTACCACTATGAAAGATAGCTGCCACCTTGATAAATAGCCCTTAGATGTCCTGGACGTAAATAAATTGTCTTGAACCTTACAACACAATTCATAAAAAAATTACATCGGAGATGTAGTGAAATTCGGTCTAACGAAAACAAAACTATAATGTTATGTCAGTTTACGATTTCGAAAAGAAAATCAAATTAATTATTTGTCGACCAATAAGAATAATTAACCTTCACCACCTCGAAATAACGTTTCGATTCAGTTCAAAAAGTCTACTCTCGAAAAGACCAAAAGACCAAAAGACGGAAAGACCAAACTAAATTCGGGACAAAACTTTCACGAGCCCTTATATTTTATGGTTTTCACTTGAACCAGAGGTCTAAGGTCAACATAAATCATAGAGTAATATAATAGGAGGTACCTACATGCTTTTTAAAGAATCCAGTTACTAGTTCATTGGTACAGGAACTACGTATTTCATTCACGTTTCTGCTTTTCATAATAATTCAAGTGTAAACGCCGAGGGGAAATATATAAATGGAATGGTGTTAGAAAAATATATTCTAGATAATATCTGTGTATTTTGTTTAGGAAACATTGTTTTATGAAAGAGATTAAAGAGTTTTAAAATAATGGTAAAGTATGGGTCAGAGCTGCGCGTCGAAGATTTAGTAGAAACTTGTTCATATAAAATGTTGGTTGTTATCGGCTTGTTCTTTTTCGTTGTAAAATACGTAACAAACTTCAGATTAACATAACATAACATAATGTAACATAACGCCTTTTTATCCCCGAAGGGGTAGGCAGAGGTATACATACATTACGGCACTTAATGCCACTGTACCATGTAACACCCACTTTTCACTATTTCTGTTATGAGTCCCGTGTAATAGGGGGTGAGCCTATTGCCATATACCGGGCACAATCCAGACTCCGTGCTACTACTGACATTTTTGAGAAACCCAGTAATACTTTACCCGACCCGGGGATCGAACCCGAGACCCCTTGCCCGGCAGTCGCACTTGCGACCATTCGTCCAACGAGGTAGTCTTAAGATTAATTATGGGAAAGTCAAGGTTGATTGGCGTTTTTAAAGTATTATACCATATCTTTACGCGTAAATGATTTCTTGAGTAGGTACCAGTAAAAATTACTAAAATTTTTCTGGTCAAAAAACTGAACTACACAATTAGTTCTGGTAGGTGAAATCAAAACCTCAGTCTCAACAGCCACACTTACTTCACAACAATCCAGTTTTACTATTCATCTATTCAAACTTCAATTACAAAGACATTTTCTTACCTTGAATCCACGACAGTATTGTGGAACATTAATCATATTTTGATATTGCTTTGTAGCCACCCCGTTAAAGGAAACCCGTCTATTAGGCTATTAAAACTGTGGCTTCCTTCAACTCGGTCGTGGGTTGTAGTCGGTTGTACCAACGGCTATTGTTCTTGAAATATTATATTTGGTAACTCCCAATTTTGTGAATTCAGAGCTTTGTACGAGTTTACGTAACGAGTACGCGTTCAGCGCTCTGATTGGTTGGTTCATTGGCGCCGGCCAATCAGAGTGCCGAACGCGTACTCGTTTCGAATACTTTAAACGTAAATCAAACTTGTACTCAGGCCTTTGATATTGTAACACGTTTATCGTTAGAAATGGTTGCAGGTTTTTAGGGTATGTAAATAGATTGAAAAATGGTATATATTTTGATTTGTTAGAAAATTTTAAATCTACGTCAAAGTCAGAATCATTTAATTCAACTAGACCAGAAAGGCACTTTTGAAAGTCAGCTATAAATATTTAAAAGTGAAGCTATTTGCTCATTCCAAGCTATAGATTCCCATGGAGAAGAACGAGCAAGAAACTCCATAGGTTACTTTTTTCTAATCAGGTTCACAATACAATTCTCCAGTTACACAGTTTTATTGGTTCTATTGTGCGAGAAGAATGTAACACCAAAATCCAGTCAAAGAGGTCGAAAAAGAACCTTAAAGACAAGTCTACCAATGCTCAAACTGACTCGATACTCTTTGACCTTAGAGGGCAAAGGTCGTTATAATGATAAAAAATAATAAAAAATAATACAATGCACTACACCAGATATCTTCTAATTCGAATATTCGTTGGACATGACAAATACCTTACCTTACTTTACTGAAGAACAACACATCACATAAAACAAAACAAAATCCAATAAAAGTATTAATCTTCTTCCTTTATTTTTGCAAGCATTTCTAAACAAGACAGCTACTTAGTCCCTACAATCTGCAACAACAATATGTTACAGCGCTAAGCGGTTTAGCATTCGCAAAAGTGTAGGCTAATCGAATACTTTGCCAAGACTAAATTGAGTGGCTTCTGTGCCAAATTCTAGGCTAAGAAAGATTTAGAGATTCTACATCCTCTTAGACATTAGATTAAGTTATTCATGGATCGTATTCACGCGGGTTCCATGTAAATAGATGTTCCAACACGGCAATTTCCAGTTCAATTTGAATGCTTGGCGACAGGCCAGGTCAATCGGGCTTAATAACTGGCTAAATAGTCCAGCGTGACAGCCCTACTGATGCGGTTTAGTGGCGGTTATTGGTACAAATAAAATTATGTTCACATTTTGTGTGTGTTAATTAATAGTAATAGGGTAGATGCCTAATTTTTATTTATATGTCCGTTCTTTCTATTATTATCGTATCGTATTTTTTAATATGTATTTTCGACGATGTATTGATTTGAAATGTCGCGCGACGTCACTTCGATGTATATTTTATATGTAGAAATGACGTTTTAGCCCCCACTCCTGAACTTTGATTCGTTTTATCTAAATATTGTTTTATTATACGACAAAATAAAAAAATACGTGTCTAATATTTTTTCATTGCCTACCTTAGGGACTAATTAGATTTTTAATTTTCATACCCTGTCATCATCCCAATTGTTGAACTAGTGCAAAAGTGGTGACGGAGGTAGAGGAAGAGGTGGTTCTTTAATATGTTAGTGGGACTTTAATTTGATTTTGGTATAATAGAATTTTACGTAAACTAGATTACAAGCTTTTCAATTAATTTTAGTACTGTTACATCATTGTAAAACTGTTTTATACCACTAATGTCACATGCCATTAGAGATCAATGTATAAGTGTTTCCAATTTTAAAATATTGAATAACAAAATGAAGTCTAGATTAAATCTGGCCTCTATTAGATAACAACATTATAACTAAAACGTAATAATCTAAAACTATCTGCACGGTTGGCGCGGTGGCTGGGCAACTGGCTGCCGGGCAACGTG